CCGCATCTGCTCCCAGGATGAGGCATTCCACTCCCGTACATCTCAGTTGTCCTCGTTTTTCAAGGACCGTAACTTCCCCTCCTCGGTGGTCGAGAACGCCCTCAACCGTGTCTCCCACATCTCCCGCACCTCATCCCTCACACCCCGTCCACGCAATAAAAACCAAAAAAGAATCCCCCTCGTCCTCACGTACCACCCCACCAACCTCCGGATCCAACGCATCATCCTCCGACACTTCCGCCATCTGCAATCCGACCCCACCACCAAAGACATCTTTCCCTCCCCACCTTTATCTGCTTTCCGGAGGGACAACTCTCTCCGTGACTCCCTTGTCCGCTCCACACTCCCCTCCAGCTCCACCACACCCGGCACTTTTCCCTGCAACCGCAGGAAGTGCTACACCTGCCCCCATACCTCCTCCCTCACCCCCATCCCAGGCCCCAAGAAGACTTTCCACATCAAGCAGATGTTCACCTGCACATCTGCCAATGTGGTATACTGCATCCGCTGTACCCGGTGTGGCTTCCTCTACATCGGGGAAACCAAGCGGAGACTCGGGGACCGCTTTGCAGAACACCTACGCTCGGTTCGCAACAAACAACTGCACCTCCCAGTCGCGAACCATTTCAACTCCCCCTCCCATTCCTCAGACGACATGTCCATCCTGGGCCTCCTGCAGTGCCACAACGATGCCACCCGAAGGTTGCAGGAACAGCAACTCATATTCCGCTTGGGAACCCTGCAGCCCAATGGTATCAATGTGGATTTCACAAGTTTCAAAATCTCCCCTCCCCCCACCGCATCCCAAAACCAGTCCAGCTCGTCCCTGCCTCCCTAACCTGTTCTTCCTCCCACCTATCCCCTCCTCCCACCTCAAGCCGCACCTCCATCTCCTACCGACCAACCTCATCCCACCCCCTTGACCTGTCCGTCCTCCCTGGACTGACCTATCCCCTTCCTAACTCCCTACCTACACTCACCTTTACTGGCTCCATCCCCGCCTCTTCGACCTGTTTGTTTCCTCTCCACCTATCCTCTCCTCTATCCCTCTTCTATCCGCCTCCCACTCTCTCCCTATTTATTTCAGAACCCCCTTCCCCTCCCCCTTTTCTGATGAAGGGTCTAGGCCCGAAACGTCAGCCTCTCTGCTCCTATGATGCTGCTTGGCCTGCTGTGTTCATCCAGCCCTGCACCTTGTTGTCTCGGATTCTCCAGCATCTGCAGTTCCTACTATCTCTGATTCAATAGCAAGGTGCATCTCTTTAATCAATGATATTAAAAGATGGGGATTAAAATGCAGCAATAGAGAAGAAAATGGGGTGAATAAGATCAATTCAGGTACAGAAAAGGAAATCAAAGAATAGAAGAGACAGAAATGTACATTAAGAAAAAGAAACTTGATCTTTTTCCAACTCTGAAGACTTTACTGCATATGGAAATGAGATTGACCAATTAAAATTGTTCAGTCTTCTTGGCACTGAAGTTGAACAGTACTGCATTAACAATGATCATATCTTTCACAGAGTACTTGATTCTTAATTACCAACCTTAACTTGATTCCCCATGTGTTTCACTGCAGAATGTCTGAAATACAGCAAGTTTTTAAAAGTAGCAGGGAGATGTCGATGCAAACAGACAGCAGATAATGAAAATTGTCAATACTTTCTAGAGAAACTCTAGAATTGCAGCTCGAAGTATCTTTCAAATTGATGGCTGATTTCTGCATCAATAACAAACACTCCTTGCTGCGAACATATGGCTATCTTTCCAGAAAGATTTTGGCCGATAATGCACCAATGCTAGCCTGTCTAGAGAACGGTCTGGGTTTGTGGGGCAGGCATTAAGCCCCATTACTTGGACCACACACTCTAAGACTCATTGGAGTTGAATCACTGAGTTTGAGTTTTATCTCCTTTAATGGACTCCAGCCAAGTGCCAGTGGAGTTGACATTGCAGCTCATTAGGTGGGAACAAATCTCAGAGTTTGTTAAAGGAAGGGCTGGGGAAATGAGGATTGCGGTCATTAGAGGCTGGTGGATCATAGATCTAAGACAAGGACAAGGCTGGCGTACCACAGGATGCTGCCACTCTGAGTTCCTGGTATTCTGCGCTGAATTTCTGCAGCTGCCTACTCCAAGTATTAAAATAAACCTAGTCCCACGATTTAGGGTTCCAGTAAATGGGTGAGATAGGTTACAATTGAGGATGGAAGGCTTCTGCATCCCTCATCCCCCAACCCAATTGAGACAACTGAATTGCTAGACAGGGTGGCACAGCGGATAGCACTGCTGCTTCATAGTGCCAGGGACCTGGGTTCATCCCCAGCCTTGGGTGATTGTGTGCCATCTGCATGTTCTCCCTGTGTCTGTGTTGGTTTCTGCTGGGTGCATTGGTTTCCTCCCACAGTCCAAAGATGAAGGCTAGGTGGATTGGCTAAGTTAAATCGTCCTGAAGTGTGCAGGGATGTGTAGGCTAGGTGGATTAGCCATGGTAAATGTGGCAATACGGGGATAGGGTGGGATGCAGTTTGGAGGGTCGGTACCGACTTGATGGGCCGAATTGTCTCTTTCCAGTTTATGATGTGCTTAAGTTTTGCTTAGGAGTACTGTTATGTCCATCTTCCATCACTTTGCTGATGATCGTGAGTAGACTGTTGGGACAGTAACTGGCTGGGTTCAAAATCTGACTGAGTTATAAAGCTATTTTCTGATTCTCTTTTCTCCCTTTCTCCAGGTGCCGGCTCATGGTGGGAATTGTGTTTTCCCTTGGGATTCGCGAGCTCTACAGTTTGTCATCGAAAGGCCGTTCTTCATGTCTGATCATATTGTTGGCAATATTAATTGCACGAAGGCTTAAATTGTTGTTACCAAATTGTCCTCAATTGTCTTAAACAGAGATGTTAATTAATTCCTTTCAGGTAATAACAATGTTAATATCACAGTCAAGAATTTAGTGCAAGTGCATGAAATGTTCACGTGAAAACGTTTCTGGCAGTGCTAAATAGAAACCGAAAGAACTGCAGACACTGTAAATCAGAAACAAAAACAGAAATTGATGGAAAAGCTCAGCAGGTCTGGCAGCATCTGTGGAGAGTAGTCAGAGGTAACGTTTCAGGTTTGGCGACCCTTCCTCAGAACTGAATTAACTTCGATTTCTCTCCATCGATGGTGCCAGCCCTGCTGAATATCTAGGCCCGAAACATCAGCCTTCCTGCTCCTCTGATGCTGCTTGGCCTGCTGTGTTCATCTAGCTTTACACCTTGTTATCTGCTGAATATTTGTTTTTGTTTCTGACTAGCAGGCTGTTTGACAGTAAGACTGTTATCACACATGTACACAAGAGCTCATTGCATCATATTTAAGATTGCACAATCTAGCTAATATGTTGTTTCTTTAGTCTATGTCGTCAAGGTCAATTGTATAGAAACAAAGTCTTGCATTACAGGTGCGTTTCATAACTGCTAGATGACACAAAGCATTTTACAACACATGAAGAGACTGTGGCAGTAGTTGGAACAATTAGGGTTAGTGATCTCCTTCTAGACTGGGACCCTCTGGTTTCTGTATAGTTCAGTTCTGCAATGCCCTGATCAGTTGAACCAACCTGATTATCAATCTCAGCATTTAACTTGGTACATGCTTTCATTTACTGACTTACTGCTCATTGTTCATTGCCTGTGGCTTTGAAGATTGTTTTTTCTTTTCAGAATTCATCACTGTTGGCTCTTGGAGATTCATCGTACCAAAACAATGAGTGGATTGAGCTCCACTCAAAGGTCAAAGCTCCTTATTCTTCCATTACGTGGAAAAGTAATGTTGGATAAAATCCAAAAGAACTACAGATGCTGTAAATCAGAAACAAAACCAGAAATTTCTGGAAAAGCTCAGCAACTGGGGAGAGAAATCAGAGTTAATGTCTTGGATCCAGTGACACTTCCTCAGAACAGGAAGGGCCATTGGACTTGAAATGTTAACTCTGATTTCTCTCCACAGATGCTGCCAGACCTGCTGAGCTTTTCCAGCAATTTCTGTTTTTGATTGCGAAAGTAACATTGGAAGCCTTTTGCAAAAAGGGAGTGTATCTGTGTAAATATTAGAATCGTTCTAAGAGGTGCTGGTGGAAGTTTATCTATTCTTTATCCCCCACACATCTGAGCGACTGGATGAGAGTGAATAAAAGTGGTCATCACCTTGGTAACGACAGTTTTGTCACTGCGTGTGAATAAGTGATGAGCCTTCTGTTAGTATCATAACTGAATCTTTTCCTCTTGTGTCTTTGTTGCAGGGCTTACATAGCAGAACTGGTGGCAGGAGGGAGCTGAGGAACGTGATACAGAATGCGCTAGTGGATTCGCACTGAAAAGAAAATGGCAGTTAATTCTTGACTCAAAAAGAATTGCAGGGAAGAGCTGAAAATGTCCAAGAAAGGGCGTGGGAAGGCTGATAAGCCTGAAGCCCTTATAGCTGCTTTACAGGCTGCTAATGAAGATCTTAGGACTAAACTGACCGATATACAAATAGAACTTCACCAGGAGAAATGTAAAGTGAGTGATATTTCTCTTATTTGGTTAAAAACAGCCAAAGGAAACACAGAACAACTTGGGAGGGCTTTCTCAAATGATACATGTTGTGTAAACATTTACTCAGAACTGATCAATAAGTATTTCAAATAACCTTGGAGGATTCTAGGCCGAGATTGCAATTGTTGTAACCACTCTGCTTACTTTAATAGAGGTTTCTAATCAGTTTACCCAACAGAATTATCGTTAACCTTTTAACTTGTAATCTTTTTATCCAACAGAAGGTGCACAAGCTGCTGGGGAGGTCGGACTTTATGAGATTGAATATAGTGAACTAAAATCCTATATTTATGGGGCAAACTTTGTTTCAATTGACACTATATACATGGGGAGGCAGTAAACATAGTGATAATGTCCCTGGCCTAGTAATCCAGAGGCCTAGACTAATGTCCTGGTAACATCAGCTCAAAGCTCACCATGACAGATGTTGAAATTTCACTTTGATTATTCAGTCTTGAATTTAACATTAGTTTAATGATGACAATGAAATCAATTTTCCAAAAAAAAACTCACCTGGTTAATGATTGTCTTTCGGAAATCTGCTATCCTTGCCTGGTCTGGCCTATGTGTGATTCCTGCTGGTTGACTCAGAAATGACCCAGCAGGCCAATATCAGCAGTTGTAACGACTTCATACAAGTCGCCCCACATCAACTTAGGAATCGGAAATAATAATGGCAACCCAGCCCTGTCAAGTTCACATAATCCTGCTTACTCGCATCTGGAGCTGACTTATATTGCCGTAATGTTCTGAGGAAGGGTCATTGGGCCTGAAACGTTAACTCTGTTTTCTCCTTCACAGTTGCTGCTAGACCTGCTGAGCTTTTCCAGCAACTTTGTTTTTGTTGCCATAAAGTTTTTGGTTTGGGATTCTATTATGCACCATGGAGTCTCATGGCATCAGGTCAAACATGAGCAAGGAGGCCTGTTGCTGATGAATACTTGCAAAGCTTGACTCACTGGAGGAATCAGTACTACTTCATGTTGGACACAAATTATCACACTCATGTTTTTTTACAAAGGTTTACCCTGTGTGGGAGGGTGTGGGTGTGGGGCATTTTTAAATTCATTCACTGGATGTGGGGATTGCTGGAGAGGGCGATGGTGAGTTGTTTGGCACCATTGCACTCTTTGGTGTGATGGTATATCCACAGTGCTGTTAAGGAGAGAGTTACAGAATTTTGACGCGACAACAAAGAGGGAATGGTGATATAATCCCGTGGGAGGATGTTGTGTGAGTTTGCAAGTGGTGTTCCCACACATCTGTACCATGGACTGTCTGGGAGGTAAAGGTTGTGGGTTTAGTCAGTGCTGTCAAAGGAGTGTTGGTCAGCAGTGCATTTGGAGGTGGAACTCATTGCTCCCACTGTGTGTCATTGGTATATGGGTTAAATGTTGGAAGTGGTGAATGGGGTGACAACCAAGTGAACTGCTTTGTTTTGGGTGGTGTCAAGCTTCCTGAGTAGTGTTGGTGTTGCAGTCATCTAGACAAGTGGAGAACATTCCAATGCACTCCTGATTTGTGCCTTGTAGATGTTGGGGAGCTAAGTTACCTCTGAAATTCTAGTTTTTGACTTGCATCTGTAGCTATGCTGTTTGTATACAAATGGCTCAGATTCTGGTCACTGGAAAACCCAGAATGTTGGAATAGTGGTAGAATCAACTATGCAATGCAATTTAATGTCAAGGAGAAATGGTTAGTTTCTCTACTATTGGATATGGTCATTGCCTGACGGTTGTGTTATATGAGTGTCTCTTGCTACTTATCAGCCCAAGCGTGGCTATTGTTTAAGGCTTGCCGCACATGGACACAAGTTGCTTTAGTATCTGAAGAGCCACGAAAAGTGCTGCCGATTTGTGAAAACTTCCCAATTCTGAATTTGGGATGCAGGGATAGTCATTGAAGCAGCTGAAGATATCCTAGGACAGTACTCTGAGGAACTCCTGCAGCGATGTCCTGGAGCTGTCATGATGGACCTCTAACAATCATAACCATCTTCCTTTCTGCCAGGTGTGACTCTGACAAGGGAAGAGTTCACACCCTGATTCTCATTGATTCTAGTTTTGATTGGGATTCTTGATGCCACACTTGGTCAAATGCAGCCTTGATGTCAAGGGCTGTCACTCTCACCTCACCTCTGGAATTCAGCCCATTTGTCCATGTTTGAACCAAGGCTGTAATGAGGTCAGGAGCTGAGTGGCCCTGGGTAGAATCCAAACTGACTGTCAGTGAACAAGTCATTATTGAAAATGCCAGTTGATTCTAATGTGGCCAACCCCTTCCACTACTTTGCTGTTCATAGAGGGTAGACGGATAGGGCTGTAATTGGCTGGGTTGGATTGATACCCCTTTTTGTGCGCAGGACATACCTTCAAAAGTATTCCCATTATCGGGTAGATGCCAGTGTTGTGGCTATTGAGGGAACCAACAACAGGGAAAAAAAATCTACTTGACCTCATTCTTAAAAACCTGCTTCTCATCGACCCATCAATGCATGACTTAATTGGCAGAAGTGACCGATCCCTTTGGAAATGAAGTCATGCCTTTATATAGAGGAAGCCTTCATGACTGCACCACCCTGAAGCCCACACCCCCCTCCCCTACCCCCCAAAAGGATGTTCTGTGTGGTACTACCATGGCGCTAAATTGGATCGATTAAAAACAAATCTTCTCATTCAAAACTGGGCATCCCTGAGGCACTGGCCACAAGCTGTCTGAAGCAACACAAATGTATTGAGCCACATCCTGTAACCTCATGCCCAAGCACATCCTTCACTTTAACATTGCCATTAAGTTCAGGTGCCAACCCTGGTTCAGTGAAGCAGTTAGGAGAGGATACCAGGAGCAGCGACAGGTATATCTACAAGTGAGGTATCGACCTGGTGAAGCTACAACACAGAATTATCTACCGACCAAGCAGTGAAAGAACATGAGTGTAAGAGTTGGAACAGCATAATGTGACTAGACATTGGTGAGGTCACTTTTGGAGTACATGTACAGTCCTGGTTGCCCTGCTATAGGAAGGATATTATTAAACTGGAAAATGTGCAGAAAAGATTTACAAGGATGTTACCAGGACTGGATGATTTGAGTTATAAGAAAAGTCTGGATAGGCTGATTTAGGAGGCTGAAGGTTGACTTTATGTATGTTTATGAAATCATGAGGGGCATAGATAAGGTGAATAAGGATAAGAGAGTTCAAAACTAGAGGGAATAGGTTTAAGATGAGATGAGAAAGATTTAAAAGGGAACTGAGGAGTAACTTTTTCACACAGAGGGTGGTACATGTATGGAACGAACTGAAGAACTGTCCTCCAGAACAAACCATTGTCTTTCAAGACAGCTGCAAGACTTGGACCTACCCAGCAGAATGGAAAATTGCCCAGGAGCGTGCTGTACATAAAAACCAGGAGCAATCCAAACCACCCAGTTGCTCCCCCATTTCTCCACCTGCCCCCACTCCCTCCACCACCATCCCCACAACCACCAAGAGTTTACTCTTGATCATCAAATTGATGGAAGATGGGCATGAACAGTATTCTTAAGCAGCACATATTCAGCTTTATGGAATCATGGAATCCCTACATGAAAATGATGCCCTGGACATTATGGGGCAGTTTAACATGACCAAGCCACCTAACCTTTCAAAACTTTAGATTTTGGTAAGAAATTGGAGCACTTGGCAGAAACCCATTCAGATCCGGGAAAAATGTGCACACTCCATACAGAAGTGACACAAGACTGGAATTGAACCCAGGTCCCTGGTGCTGTGACACAGCAGTGTTAACCACTAAGCTGCCGTATCGCTGGTTGTGGTGCTCTGTTTGAGTACTGCCAGGACTGGTCAGCTCCGATTTTTGGTACACTCTTGATCCAAACAAGGACAACAGAACTGAACCCTAGAGGTAAGATAAGAGTGACTGCCCTTGATATGAAGGCAGCATTTGACTGAGTGTGGCATCAAGGAGCCCTCACAATACTGACCTCAATGGGAATTGGGGAAGCAACTTTTTTGTAGTCATAGCTAATACCAAAGAAGATGATTATGTTTGTTGGAGGTCAGACATCTTAGTTCCAGGATATCTCTATTCCTCAGGGTAGTATCCTAGGCCTAACCATCTTTAGCTGCTTCTTTGATGGCCTTCTTTTCTTCATTAGATCAAAAGTGAGATGTTTACTGATGACTGCACAATGTTCAGCACCATTCGTGGCACCTTCGATACAGAAATAGCCCATGTCAAAGTGCAACAAAATCTAGACAATACCCAGGCGCTGACTTACAAGTGACCCACAAGTGTTTGTCAATGACCATCTCCAAAAAGTGAGAATCGAACATTGCCCCGTGTCATTCAGTGGCATTACCATCACTGAATTCTCCACTACCAATATCCTATGGGTTATCATTGACTAGAAACTTAACTGGGCTAGCCATGTAAACACTGACAACAAGAGCAGTTGGAGGCTAGAAATCCTGCATCAAGTAACTCATCACCTACCTTCCCCAAAGCCTGTCTACCATTTACAAGACACACATCAGGTGTATGAAACAATATTCTTCACTTGCCTGGATGAGTGCAGTTCCAACAAAACTTGAAGCTTACCATCGACTATGACAAAGCAGCCCAGTTGTTTGACAGCCCACCCACCACCTTCAACATTCACTCCCTTCACTGCCAATGCATATTGGCATTAGTGAGTACCATCTACATGATGCACTGCAGCAACTCACCTTGGCTCCTTCAACAAAACCTTCCAAACCCACAACCTTTTATTGCTTACACGGACAAAGGCAACAGATACATGGAAACTACCACCCGCAAACTCCCTTCCAAATCTCTCACCATCAGGACTTGGAGCTTTATTGTTCTTGCTGTACTTTTGCTGGGTCAATATTCTGGAACTCCCTTCCTAACAGCATTGAGAGTGTACCTACACCTCAGGAACTGCAACTGTTCAAGATGGCAGCTCATCATCAACTTCCCCAGGGTAATTAAGGATGGGCAATAAATGGAGGCTTTGCCAGTGATGCTACATTCCACAAAGAAACAAAAAAAAACCATCAATAAGAAATTTTTATAGCCCTCTGAATGGCACAAATTTGAGAGAGCTTGGACTTAATTTCTAACCAGAAAGTCACATTTCCAGTTCCAGAAAATTTCTCCAATTTGCGTTTGTGAGATGGGTAAATTCAATCCATTTTGTCCAGTTTGGTAACCAGAATGCTAAGTAAAAAGGTATTTAATTTACAAATCAAAACAAAATGTTCCTAAATTGAGTTCCTTTGATAACACTGAACATACTATTGATGTTGAAATGCCAAACTGAAAGAATAGTCACTCAGCTTTGTTAATGACCTGACAGTATGTCATCTGAGTAAATCTTCTCTGTATGGAGATGAAATTTTCTATTGCAATAGAAAATATCTCCTCAAATATATAGGTGGTAAATCTATTTCCTCACATGCTCACCGTTGATTCAGCAGTGTGGTGCTGCTGTGGCTTTAAAAGGTGTGTTTTGTCTTAGTTCCTTTTAGAGAGAGACTGGGGGACAGGTATGAAGCACCTATGAGAGGTTAAACAACTTGTGAGGCCTTGGGTTTTGTTGTTTAAACATGGAACGATAGAAGCAGCCGACAGGGTGTGGTCAGTTGTTGCTGGGGTCTCCATGGATTGGAAGGCAGTGAATCTCTCCCGGCTGCTGCACACTGTCTCTGAATTGTCTTTTAATGTTCTTTCCTCCTGGATTGGAGAACTGCATGTGAGACAAATCTGTTTTCTGAAATTGCCTTTTTGCCATGGGTGTGTTTATGGAATGTTATTATGTTGGAACAGTTAAAAAGTAATAGTTACCATATCTATTATTCTGTTAATTTTTCCAACAAAGCTAAGTTATTCCAAGTTCTTCTTTCTTTTGTTGTGTTTCATCTGTAGTGTTTGCATGAATTGTGTTTGCTTAATGTCGTTTGACCAATCGAATTGAATCTGGAACACAGTACCTAATATTTACTTTTAAAATAAGAAAATGTTAGCATCTGGGCTACCTTCTTAATATATGTTGAGGGGGTCTGGTCTGGTGCGTAACAAGCAGGTGAAAGTGGAGTTGTAGTGATCCACATAGACCAGGAAGATCCTATGTTTGACCTTATGGACAAGGCTGAATTTGCTGATCTCAACAAGATAATCCACAGAGCTTTACAGGAAGGTTTCTGATAGCTTTCTCCTGGAATTCATGTAAGGACTCTTATTCTTCTTAATATTTATAATCTAGACCTTGGTGTAAAAGGCATTGCTTCAAAGTATGAGAACTATGAGAAGGAGAATGCTAAACTTCAAAAAGATGTAGACCGGTTGTTGGATTGGGCAGACAGCTAGCAAATGCACTTTAATGCAAAGAAGTCTAAATTTGTGAGAAAGAATGGGGAGAAACTGTAAAACAAAGGACGTAATTCTAAAGGGGCTGCAGGATTTTGGATTACATGTGTGCACATCATTGAAGGTGACAGGGCAGCTTAAGGAAATGGCTTCCAAAACACAAATAAGAGATGCTTTGGCCATTTAAAATTGGGGAATGTTGTCAAAATGGAAGAAGTTACAATAAAGCTGTACAAAATACAAATTTGCCCTCAATGATTGGAGCAGCGTGGTGGCTCAGTAGTTAGAACTGCTGCCTCATAGCACCTTGGTTCAATTCCACCCTCAGGTGACTGTCTGTGTGGAATTTGCACATTCTCTCCTCCAGGTGCTCTGGTTACCTCCCACAGTCGAAAGATGTGCAGGTTAGGTGGATTGGGCATGCTAAATTGTCAATATTATCCAGGGATATGCAGGCTAGGTGAGTTAGCCATGGGGAGTGCAGAGTTATAGGGATAGGGGAGGGGGTTGGGTCTGGGGGGGGGAATACTCTTCAGAGGAACAGTGTGGATTTGATAGGCCGAATGGCCTGCTTCCACACTAGGGATTCTATGATTGTGTTCAATTCTTGGCACCACATTTTAGAAAGCATGTAAAAGCATTATCATGCAGAAATGATTCACAAGAATGGTTCCCAGTGAGGAGGAGCTTCAGTTTTGTAAGCAAATTGGAGAAGTTAAAGCTGTTCTCCTTGGAGAAGAGAAGGTTGAAGGTCGATTTCGCAGAGGTATCTACAATTTGCAGGGTTATGAGGTGAAGGTGTTACTATACATTTCTTGTACTTGCACTTTGCAGCACAAATATATGAATTGAATGGGCCTCCTTCTGTCTTGTATCCATTTTATAAATGTATCCCTGGAATCATTGCACACTAGATTTTCTGGTTTAAGTCATCTTCAAACTTTCACCTGTTAATAAATAAACAAAAACAGAATCAAACTTAAAATTTGCTCACTTACTATCGCGTCCAAGTTCCATTTGAACCATTTTGATTTTGCTTTCATTAAATCACAAAATACAGAAGAGGCCTTTAGGCCCATTAAGTGTGCACAACAAACAGAAAACTACTCCAAATCTAAACTAGTCCCACTTTCCATCAGTTGGTTCATAGCCTTGAATGTTATGACTTTTTAAAGATTAAGTGGTTTCTCATGTCAACATCCCTCCTGGAGAGTACATTCCAGATTCCTACTATCCTCTGAGTGAAAATACTTCACCTCAAATCCCCTCTCAATCTCTTAGAGTCATAGAGCTGTACAGCTTGGAAACAGACCCTTCAGTCCAACTCGTCCATGCTGACCAGAAATCCTAAATTAATTTAGTCCCATTTGCTAACATTTGACCCATATCCGTCTAAACCCTTCCTATTCGTATACCCATCCAGATACCTGTTAAATATTGTAATTGCACCAGCCTCCACCACTTCCTCTGGCAGCTCATTCCATACACACACCACCCTCTGTGTGAAAAAATTGCCCTTAGGTCCCTTTTCAATCTTTCCCCTCTCACCTTAAACCTATGCCCTCTAGTTTAAGACTCACCCACCCCATAGAAAAGACCTTGGCTATTCCCCTTATCCACGCCCCTCATGATTTTATAAACTTCTATAAGGTCACCCCTCAGCCTCCGATAAAAGATTGTAATTTAATTGTTTGACCAATTAGAAAGAGAACTTTAACGTGATTGCTCATATGGAAAACTAACATTTACTCACTACTTCTCACAACCAATGTTGTCTCAAAGGACTTGATAAACAATGAAGTATTTTTGATGCATAATCATAGAAAAAGAAGCAGCTTCTTTGCACATAGCAAGCTCTTTCAGGCAGCAATGTGGTAACAAGCAGGCAATGTCTGCAGTGTGGAAGCAGGCCATTCAGCCCATTGAGTCCACTCCAACCCTCCGAAGAGTATCTCACTCAGACCCACGCCCTATCCCTGTAACACTGCATTCCCCATGGTTAATCAACCTAGCCTGCACATTCCTGGACACTATGGGGCAATTTAGCATGGCCAATCCACCCAACCTGTAAGTTTTTGGAATGTGGGAGGAAACCGGAGCATCCGAAGGAAACCCACACAGACGGGGGGAGAATGTGCAAACCCCACACAGTCACCTGAGGGTGGAATTGAACTTGGATCCCTGCTACCGTGAGGCAACCGTGCTGACCACTGAGCCAATAAACGTTGACCAAGCCATGCGTGATAAGTGCCCTAGTTTTCTTTGACATGTTTCAGTTGGGTGGCTTGCATCCATCTGAAGCTAATGATTCACTTAGAAAATAGCACCACTGCCAATACAGCACCCTGAGCCACGTTCTGGCATATCATCCTTCAGTGTTTCTCTGCAACTTCATTCCCCAGTGTACTGCTTTTGTTTTCTTGTTTGACATTCTAAATTTTTTTTTGTTTGCGCGTCACTTTGTTTCCAAGGTTAGCAAACTTGAACGGGAAAAAGTGCAAGAGGTGAAGCGCATACGAGAACAGGAGCAGCACAAGCACACAGCAACTATCACGGACTTAAAAAGCAAACTCCACGAGGATAAAATGAAGGAACTGCAGTCTGTCCGTGAGACATTGATAAAGCAACATGACCAGGAGCTGGCTCGCACCATCAAAATCAAAGACCACGAGATTCAGCGGCTAAAGTCACTTGTGAACGCACTGCGAGATGGCAGCAGTGACAAAGTAAGAACAGCGTTGTTTAATGAGGCCCGGGATGAGGCCCGGAAAATGTTTGACTCTGAGCGCCTGAAACTGCTGCAGGAGCTAAGCGAACTGAAATCAGCCAAGAAACAGGTGGAAGAGTCACTGAACAACATGATCCAAGCGGATAAGATAAAAGCCGGAAACCTGAGGAGCGAACATCAGTCTCACCAAGAGGCTGTTGCCAAGATCAAATGGGAATCTGAGAAGGAAATCCGAAGGCTGGTGAGCACCATTCTTTTCCTTACCGTGATGATTGTCTATGTTCCTATGTTATTTAATAGGTTTGTTATCTTTAAGGACTGGCGTGTTGTAATCAAGGGAAATTTTCCATGAGTCTCAGATGGTTAAAAGTAGGGGGAGAAAAATCCCTGTCAGTTCTTTTTTTGAAAGTTAAATTATTTTTGGACATTAAATAAGTGCACGTATATGCAAGGACTGGAGGGGTATGGACTCAGAGTTGGCAGAGGGAATTGGTTTAATTTAGCGATAGTATGAACTGCTGATGCTGGAGTCGGAGATGACACAGCGGGTCAGGCAGCATCAGAGGAACAGGAAAGTTGACATTTCTGGTTGGGACCCTTCTTCAGAAAATGAAAGGTCCCGACCTGAGACGTCAGCTTTCCAGCTCCTCTGATGCTGCCTGGCCTGCTGTGTTCCTCCAGCTCCACACTGCTTTAATTTAGCATCTTGTTTGGCACAACATTGTGGGCTGAAGGTCTTGTTCCTGTACTGTTCTATGTTCTATCATAATTTTTAGACAGCTGTTAAATGATTTGTGCAAAGCACCAGTTCTCTAAATTCATTAATTTACTAAATGTTTGTTCTGCAAGGAAGTTGAGTCAAAACTTGGTGATAATTCATCAGAATATTTGAACAAGAGAAGGCCATTCAGCCTGATCTGCCAATTAAAACAATCATAGCTGATCAAATACGTGATGTCTGTTGCCAACCTATCCCCATAACTCTTTACAACATTGGTCATCGTAAACCTATCGATCTCCGCTTCAAACATATTCCAAGACCACATTCTACAGCCCTCAGTGATGGAGAATTTCAAAGGTTCACAACTATCTGTGCGAAAGAAAAATAAATTATCATGGTTCTGAATCGTATCTCCCTTATTTTCAAATCACCCTACCTCCGCCCAACCAGATTCAACACTCCCCAACCAGAGGGAATGTATTGCCGGTGTCTGCCCAACTTATCACTTTATCTATTTTGTTGCTTTCAATGGGAGTACCTCTAATTCTTCGAAACTCTAAAGAATACAGACCTAGTTTACCCGCTGTCTCTTCACAGGACAGTCTCGCCGTGCTGTGAATAAGCCAGGTGAACACCCTCAATGGCAATAGCACCTTTCCTGAGATAAGGAGACCAAAACTGCACACAATACTCCAAGTGTAGCCTAACCAAGCCCCTGTACAATTGAAGCAGGACTCCATTACTGCCGCACCCAAACCGCCTTGTGATAAATGATAACTGTCCATTAGCCTTTCTCATACCATGCTGCACCTACATGTTATCCTTCACTAACGTATCGATAAGGACACCTAGATTCCTTTGAACATTTACACTTTACAACCTCTTGCCATTGAAGAAATACGCTGCACGTCAGTTTTCCCACCAAAGAGGGTAACCTCTCAATTTTCCTTATTATATTCCATGTTCCACTAAGCCTGACTGAAATCTACCTATTTTACATCTTCCTCATAATGCATCTTCCCACTTAGCTTTGTATCATCTGAAAATTTGTGAATAATACATTTGTTTCTCACATGCAAGCCATAGGTATATATTGTGATTAGCTGGGGCACAAGTAGAGATCCTTGTGGTATCCAACATGTCACAGCCTGCCAATGTGAGAATGACTGTTTTATGCCTACGCTGCTTCCTGCCTATTAGCCTAACCTTGATCCATGACAGTACAATATTTTCTGTCTGAGATAACTGCACAGAGGCTGGTATTCCATCACCAAGTAACCCTTTATTTACCTGTGCACAGTACACTGCCTGTGACCAGCCAGCTCAGAGTCAGTCCCCTGAGCTGAGGAGATTCTATGTCCCTTGCTTATATTGGTCAGCCAGAATTTTCTAATTGGCCCGGGTTAACATCACCAATCAAGGTTCTCGTAGTCAACAGTTCCAATGACTACACTATCCTTAGTGCTTTAATTTTGTTAATTGGTCTCCTTTGGATGATTTCATGAAAAACCTTCTGATAATCCAATTATGCTATGTCTATTGACTCCTCTTTATCTATTTTGCTAGTGGCATCCTTTAAAAAAAACTCCCATGATTTCCCATTTGTAATTCTACCTGACTTTTCCTAATTACATAATTATTATCCAATATCCATTTATCATATCCTTTAGAATAGATTCCAGAGTTTTCCGAGTTATTGATATAAGGCTAACAGCTCTGCTTTTCCCTGTTTTCTGCCTCGCTCTCTACTTAAATAGGTCGGCACAACATCATGGGCTGAAGGGCCTATACTGTGCTGTACTGTTCTATGTTCTTAAATAGTGGGGTAACATTTCTACATTCCAATCTCTAGACATCATTTCTGAATTGATACAATGCTGGAAGATGACCATCAATGAATTGGTTAAGTTTGTAGCCACCTCTTTCAACGCTCTGGGATGTAGAAAATCAGATCCTAAGAACTTGTCAGCCTCATTTCCATTAATTCTCTAGTGCAACTGCCTTAGTAATGTCCTTCAACATTTCATTCTCCTGATGCCACAACATTGAATTTTGCAGCGTGATGTTCCAGGATATTGTGAGATGTGCAGTGAATGCCGAATTGGCTGAGACATTCAATAGGCATCTATCAAGCGTGCCTGAAAAAAAAGCCATGAGAGTTAACCGACATTGTGCCGTTTTTATTTTGGGGCTGCGTGCATAAATTATACAGAAACAGAATTCATGAAGGCTTTTTCAAGTAAATAAAATAACCACTAGACCAGAATTATTTGCCTGAAAGAGGTGTCAGCAAGTTAAATAATAACTTGCCTTTATTAGGGAGTGCTGGCTATAACCATGTTGATGAGTGCTCCAAATAAAATGGTAATGGCAGCGATGAGTGACAAAAGATGTCCTTGGTTAACAAAATAAAATTAAATTAAGTGTGCTGAGGAATGGTTAGTCGACCTGAAACGTTAACACTGATTTTTCTCCACAGATGCTACCAGACATGCTGAGCTTTTCCAGCAATTTCTTTTTTTGTTTTTGAAAATAAAATTAAGTATGGACAAGTTGGACCAAAGGGTCTGTTTCTGTGCTGTACAACTCTAAATAAGCTCCTACCATAAGATTTTATGATAACCATGGTATTGCATCTTCTGTGAAAATTACTTATAGGAGCAGTCATCATTAACAGCCTTGAACTGTACATTGTACGGCATTATTGGACAGTGCTCCATACCATGCAATAAGAGAAGCAAATACAAGTTTCTTTCTCAAATTTTTACTGTTTCGTACAGAAATTGAATTGTTGAATCAGCTTTTTTTTATACTGGTGAAGGTGTGTGAAAATGGTTGCCTGGTGGATCTTCAGTCTCAACCAATTACTGCATTTAACAGCCTCTCTGCCGTATGCTTTACCAAGCAAAAGATGAAACGAATAATTAGATTAACAGTTATGTTGTTCAAAACGTAGAAAGGACATGCTTCTACCTTTTCCCCTTGCTGTCCTGTGATCTATGTGGGAGCATTTTGCAATTACTGACCTCCTTATCATGTAGTCAGTTGGTCTCGACATTTTCCCAAAGGTAAAATCATTCAACTAGACTTGTGAGGGTTTCTTATGATCACTGTCACTGATGATGGATTGACTAAAGAAGAAAAGTGAACTACTTTATATCCCTGAGAACGTTGGTGACATATTTGTCCAACAAAAAAAAGTCATGAGGCACAGAGTGACACGTCTCCATCATGAATTAACTGAAAGAAAGTAACCTAAAGGCTGTGTATCTTTTTATTGCCTTGAGACAACCAAGCAGATCCTGTTTCTCCAAGCTGGTTATACATGTGGTAAGGTACACGGAAAAAAAAAGGTGACTTGCTTGAATATGTTATAGCTAACTTCACTTTTTGCATTATTGATCTTATGTTGACGTCTCTGGAAAATGATGGATGGCAATGCTACATGCTATTATTTTTCTATTACCCTCCAGTGTTTCACAATGTTCCAGGGACAAGACCCAGGATAGAGTTTATTTATGCCTTTGTTTTCCTTAAGGATTGGCAGCTCCTATGATGCTGCTTGGCCTGCTGTGTTCATCCAGCCCTGCACCTTGTTGTCTCGGATTCTCCAGCATCTGCAGTTCCTACTATCTCTAGCCCAGTAGTGACCTTGGGTTATGAGGTCAGGAATACTGATTAGTGATGCCCACATTGGAGTGCATAGTAAACACATACAATTCTTCTGTGCATATTTATTTCGTTTGTTAAGCTTTGCAACCTGCTGTAGAGTCATAGAGTCATACAGCATGGAAACAGACCCTTTGGCCCAACCAGTCCATGCCGAACATGGTCCCAACCTAAAATAGTCCCACCTGCCTGCTCCTGGTCCATATCCCTCCAAACTTTTCCTATTCATGCACTTATCCAAATGTCTTTTAAGCATTGTAATTGTACGCACATCCACAACTTCCTCAGGAAGTTCATTGTGCACACGAACCACCCTCTGTGTAAAATATTAGCCCCCATATCTTTTTTTAAATCTCTCTCCTCTCAACATAAAAATGTGCCCCCTTGTCCTAAATCCCCCCATCCTAGCGAAAAGGCAACTACCATCAACTCTAACTATACCCCTCGTGATTTTATAAACTTCTATAAGGTCACCTCTGAGCCTCCTATGCTCCAATGGAAAAAAGTCCCAGCCTTTCTTTATAACTCAAACCTTCCATACCTGGCAACATCCTGGTAAATTTCTTCTGCACAGTAATAACTAGGCATAAAGAGCACTAAATTGGCACAATTTTATCGCTACAGCTCTTACCTTGTAAACCATGTCAAAGTTCTTCATTGTAAAGAAATGGCTCATCTGAAATTAATCCAATCAGAATTTCTAAGTGTGGATGAAAGCCATTTTGTGTGATGGTAAATGCCTGTCTTGTTCTTATTAACGTGGAAGATTCCAGTTTCATTCTCCCCCTTCTTGGTGAAGATGGGAGTCATCACAATTTGCCTTGCTGCTATTCTGCCAGGGAAGAAAGAAA